GTTCTGGGGCCGGGGCAGGAGGTCTCGGGGCCACCCACGGGGGTGCTGGCAACACTGGAGTTACTGTGATGAGGGCCCGGGATCCTTGGGAACAAGTCCTCTCCTCCAAGGCCTGACCTCCTGATGCCCTCAGCATGCCCCTCCTCCTGGCAGAGGGGAGCACTGATGCTTGAGTGCCCCTCCGGACTCGGATCTGGACTCGGAGCAGCTCTGCAAGTCCCCGTGGTATGGCAGAGCAGGGGAAGGGGAAGAGACCGCAGCACAGAGGTGTAAAGCAGCAATGTCGAGAGCCCAGGGCCTGAATCCCGGCTCAGCCCCCTCTTAGCTGCATGGCCTTGGGTGTGTGACAAGGGTCCAAGTTCCAGGTCCTCACTGGTATCCTGTGGGTCACAATACTCGCACACAGGGCGGATGGAGGGCTAGACGGGATGGTGTAATGTGCTCGATACACAGTGGGTGCCTACAAGGATGTGGTACCTGCTGTTCTCCACTAGACCATGAGCCTGTGGCATCCCGTTCATCAGTGAGCCTTTGGGGTCCAGAGCCTGGGGCCCAGTCGAGTGGACAGCTGCAGTTTCGGGGGGATGGGGGGAGAAGCTGGCAGGGCCCTGGGGAGCTCCGGCACTGCATGCGGCCAGAAGGGGGGTGCCCTGGGCCATCAGATGGCCTGGAAAAGGAGGGTGCTTGGGAAGAGAGGGAAGAAGCGTGGATGGGGGAGGCATCAGCCCCAGGAGGGACGGACCTGAGAATCGCCGCTGCTCCATGAAGTCCCGCTGGAAGGGCGAGTCAGTGAACAGGAGGTCATAGAGCTTGTCCACGCTGAAGTTGAAGACTTCGTTCACGTACTGCCGGCCACTCAGGTCCTCGTAGAAGGCCTGGACCTCCCCTGCACACCAAGGAGGCGGCAGACGGTGAAGGTGAGGGATGGGTGACCCCAGGGGCACCCCCAGGGCACTATGTCTCCACGGCTCACGTGGGAACGGCCACCGAGGCTCCAGGGAGGCCAGGATCAGGGTAGCGGGGCCCTGGCTGCTGCCGTCTGTGACCTCGCATGGATCCGCCCCCTTCCTCGGCTGGCACGCACACTGCTGACTCTAGTTGGCACCCTATTCACTCACCCTTTACAAAAAGCCTGGAGAATGTGCACTTTGCCTTTATACTTTCAAACCTTCCTAATTAAGGTGATCTGATCTCAGACTAAAATCTAAATAAATGACACTTCCTGACATTGCCTGAATCCAGAGGATCAGGTACCAAGAGTCTAGAGTTAAAGCGTAACTGACAGCCAATGTCACTGCGACCCACGGCACACGTATGTCCACAGGATACTGATTAATCTGCTCACATAAAAGCTTCCATGGTTGGGCTGGCCTGCAGGGCCGCGATCGCCAACTGCGTGAGGCCTGCCCTCCTTCCACGGGGCAGCCTATTCCCCCCATGATTTCGATCGCTTTAATTCTCTGAAGTTTCTCTCAGCTACAGGAGAAAGTTTCTGAGAACACGGGTGAGTTGCTAAAACCCCAGCGTCCCTCCAGAGCCTTCGGCATGCTCCGTCCCTCAGTACTGCACCTGCAGGGGCTGGTATCTGGCCTCAAGCAGGATGGGACATTTCTGGCATCGCCGTGACCCTGAGAAGGCCAGGGAGGAACTCGGCAGCATCCTGGAGGGTCAGTGCCCGTGACCGTGCAGGATCGGGACTGCGGGGCACAGCTGGGGGCGGGGGATACAGCACCCTGCTTATCACGCAGTGCCCACCTGTGCGGTCTTTTGCGCTGACCCTGCTCCCTAGACGGAAGTGGGGAGACCAACCAAAGGTGAGAAAACCACAACAGGAGGGACTGTCCACAGATGCCCGCATATCCTGCCACCAGTTCCACGGAGGTAAACCATCAACCAAACTCATGAACGCTGAGAATCTGGCCTCCCGCCCTGGAATGTGAGAAACAGCATGTTCCCGAGGGGGGACCTAGAAGCCAGCCCCATGCAGGAGGGAAGGCACAAGCTACCCACTCAGAAATCTTAGCGGGAAGGGCAAAGGCTGTCCGACCCCGAATCAGATCAGGTCCACAAGCCCCACGAGGGAGTCACCAAAGCAAGTTTCTACTAAAATCCAACTATTTCCAGGGGCAGCTGACTGGCACCTTCCTCTACACACAAACACTGTGAGGACAGAGCTGCAAGGCAAGACGCTGCCAACAGGGGCACATGTCGTGACAAGACTGAATGGCAGGACAAAGCTTTATCTGCCGAGCAAAGAAAGACACATATGAAACGACCAGGATGCTACAGTGAGTACCTGAAAAAGGCTAGTAACGCTAATAGCAAGTCTACTTTTTTTTTAAGAAAGCCTGTTCCCCATCCACCCTTCCACCTGGAACCCAGACTGACTCCAGTCTCCATGCGGGGACATCAAAACGTCTGGAGAGAGGAAGGGCCACTCTGCCCCACCGCCACCCGCCCACCTTCATCGTGGGTGTCGGAAGAGTCACTGAGCTCGGTGGGGATGTCCTCGTTGTCATTGAAGTCCAACGACGGGGAGGTCACGGGCGCGATGATCTCGATCTTCTCCCCAATGATGCTGTCGATGGCGAGCTCCTTCTCCAGGGACCCGTCGCCCTCCAGCACCTCCTCCTCCAGGGGCAGCCCGTCAAACTGGGGTGGGGACAGAGCTGTCAGCCTGATCCACCCTCCTAAGGGAAGGGAGATTGCTGGCCTGGGTGGGGAGCCTGCCCACTCTCCCCAGCTGTGCAGGAGCTGGCTGCACCACGCACTCACCCCGGCCATGGAAGATGAAGAACACAGCACGAGGCCCTGCCCTTCTCTCGCCACTGAACAGCACGCCCAGCCCCATGCTTCGCCAGAGTCAGCCCCTTCCTGGCAGCTCCTCTCCTGGGGCCACGCCCCCACCGCCCTGTAACCACCCAGGCCGACCCCAGCCAGGACCCTGTCTTCTGAGAGCTCAGAAGTTTTCATAAGCAGTTTTGGATTAATCCTCCCACCAGCCCTGGAAGGGAATAGGTACGACTCTTTACATGTTAAATTTAAGCTCAGAGACAGAAAATGCAGACGAGGCAGCACATGGATGACGTTTTCACGCTAAGGCCAAGTGGTCTGACCCCCAAGCCACTGCAACACAGGCCCCCTTTTCTGAGAACTCTTTCTTCTACCTGCCGGCTCACACGTGGGCACTTCCTTCACCAAGCTTCTATCCCCTCCGTAACCAAGTCCCAGGACAGAGTCCTTCTCACATTTTTATCTCTTCTGCCAAGTCTAACACAGAGGGAAAATAAGTCAGAGTGGGGCCACTAGGAACTCAGTCACTAATCACTGAATGAATGAACAGATAGCAGCTCTACGGTCCTATATTCACGTATGACTCTGACTTTAGATCAAGGCAGTGAAAAAAAGGCCTGGAACAGTTTTTCACCAGCAGGGCTGATCAGAGCGGACCACCAAGAGCCAGGCTCACACCACAGACTCAGAATGGCTCTCATCAGCTCAGAAGCCAAACAAAACCTTATACCCGAAGACCGAGAATCCAGCTCTGGATTCTACATTCACTAGAACATACAGAGCCCATCTGCTTCACGGTGCCTCCTTGATAAAGTGACTGCAGTGTGACCAATCTCCCCACGACCTGCTCCCCGGGACGGGGTCCTGCAGCATTCACTAGGCCAGGAATCGCGGCCACTGGACGGGGGTGGAAGCAGAGGGCCCCCTGCCCGTACCGAGACGGGCGCTTCGCTGCTCCCCGTGGACGTCAGTGTGCTGTTGGTGATGGATTTCTTGGGCAGCTGTGGGCTGGCGTCCGGCTTGGTCTCTATGCTGCTTTTGGATGAGCTGTCATTCACTTCATTCTCTTCTACGGGGATCTCCTCACAGTAGCTGAAAAGAGACACCATGAGCCCCAGTTAATCTCAGTGGCCAAGACCGCCAGCTATTCTAAGAATCTCACAAAACCACGGGCTTTCCTGTTTCTCTGCTTTGTACATGGCCTTCCTCTAACTACCCCCAAACTGCTCTCATGAAACCTCCTTCCTATACCCCCTCCCCTAGGTAATTTCTGGCTCCAAACTCATCTTCTCCAGGCAGCCTTCTTAGATTTATCCCTGCCTAAATACGACAACTCTTTGTCTTATGCTTTTTTTTCCCTTTGGCATCCCATCCCGTTCCAACTTGACCAGCTGAGTCAAGCATCTGGACTCTGAGCATACATTTGATTTCCCACACGGCGACTAGGACAGGGCTCTGGACACGAGTTGGTACTGCCCAGATTCTAGATCGTAACTAGCAAACTTCTCTGCATTGTACACCTGAGGAAAAACACCCCCTGAGATAAAGGCAGGTGCCCTTTCAGGGACACTTCAGTGATGCCACCACAGGCTCTTCCAAGGGAGAAACCACCATCACCATCGTCATCCGCATCTAATACTTTACATTTTGCCTCATCTGTATGCATCACAACTCTGAGTAAATCATCACACACATTTTAGAGCTAATCAAGTACAAACTCACAGAGAGTAAGAGATACCACCATGAAGTGTCGGAAATGGTCCCCGAGCCCAGGTCTACGCACCATACACTCAACGCTCTTTCTTTGCCCTCTGCCCCCCGTGCCTCATGCTACCACCAAGCCTCTACCTCCCAACCTCAAGCAAGCTGGTTCCAGCATGTGCACAGGGACACCCCTTCTGCAAAAGTCCTTCCCTTGGCTTCCAGGATACAAAACTCTCCTAGCATCCTCCTGCCTCATCGGATGTTCTTTCCTGATTTCTTTTGCTGTTCCTCTCTCTTGTCGAGCACACCCAGGTCCAATCCTTGAACTTCTCCTTATGTTCCTTCAGTCACTTGGCCGTCTCAGCCAACCTCGTGGCTAGCCACTGATAACCCCCAAGGTTACATCCCTGGTCGTGAACGCCACCTTCACACACACAAACACCTGTGTGACACCTCCACATGGCTAACAGTCCTCTCCAGCTCTGTGTGCTGTAAGTCAAGCTCCTGCTCTTCCCCCATGTCTGCTCTGCTTATAGTGTCATCCACCTCAGTTCAGAACAACTCTACCCTTCCAGCTGGTAAACTCTCAGAGCCACCTTTGGTTCCTTTCTGACCCATCAGCAAATCCTTCTAAGTATGTCTGGTTCTATCTTCTAAATACATTCAGAAGCTACCCACCTACTGCCACGTCTACTGCTACCCCTGGCCCAAAGCACCCGCACCTCTCATCTAAATGACCAAAACCATTCAACAGCCTCTCAGCAGGTCTGCCCTCACTTGCCCTCAGTCTATCTTCATCCCAGGAGTCAGTGTGATGCTAGAGTGTTAAGTCAGATCTTACCAATTACCTGTCCAAAGCCTTCCCACGGCTCCTCATCGCACTCTGAGGAAAAGCCAATCGCCGCGCTGGCCCAGAGGCCCTCAGAGTCCAGCCCCGACCTCCCTGACCGCCTCTCCTGCCCTCTGCCCTTTGCTCGCTTGGCCCACTGCCCGATTCCTCTCCCCTGCCTGGGAGGGTCTTCCCGCGGGCACCCTCCTGGCTCCCCCTTCTCTTCCCCAGGCTCTTACTTGGACGCCACTCCCCTGCCATCCGAGCCCCCCTGGCAAGGCTCCCCGGCCGCCACCCTCTGCCCCGCTCACCCCATTGTGTTGAAGTCGTCGTCGGGGGGCACGTAGTCCTCGTCGTCACTGGTCAGGCCCAGCTCGTTCCCGTAGCACTGGTGAACGAAGTGCCAGAGCTCCTTGGGGCACAGGGGCTGCCGGGGACACGAGAGCGGCGCTGACACTTCCTTCCTCAGGACCCCACTCTTCGCGGAGGCACTGGTGGAGCTGGACTCCAAGAGGGCAGAAGCCGAACCCACCGCCCCTGGTTGAACCGAGAGGAGAGCAGCGCGCCCGCGGCAGCCCCCCCCCCCCGCCCTCCTGTCCTCTCCGGATCTCAGCAAGACACGGGCCTTCCACCTAAGAACGTGCCTTTTTAGCAAAGCCAGGAACTCGGCCTGTTCCCTCAACTCAGGTTTGCACAGTGGGACAGCAGGCCCCTGGGGATGGTAAGTCCCTGCCTCTCGCTCCCATGGCTGAGGCCCAGCACTAAGCAGCATAAACCTGCGACGCTGGGGCCAAGGCAACCACAGGGCTTCTGACCTGGACTCAGAACGAGTGCCACAGGTCTCCTGAGCCAGCCTCCCCCGCGCGGCAGAAATCTCCTTGTACTAACAGTGGCCACGTAGGTCCTGATGGATCAGGTCCAAGAATGAGGTGTGACCTCAGAGGGGGCCCATTCCACAGCTGGGCAGTTCCTGCGTTTGGAAAGAAGCCTACACTCTCACAGTCCAAGGGGCCTCAAAGGTCATCGCATCCATCCCTCTCTCCACTACCTGAATCCTTCCTTCTTTATTCTTAGTTACAATCACTTTGCTTATAGTTCTGTGTATTAGCTCCAGTTTCTCTCGTTTCACCGGTGTCTACGTGCCCTCCTCAAAAGCACTGTCCCAAGAGAAGCTGGCTCTCGTGAGGGTCAGAGTCTCAGGAAGGAGGCAACAGAAAGTCAAAGAACAAAGATTGGGATGGAGCTACAGACTTTCAGGTTAGAAAACACTCTAAATAATAAATCTGCTCAGCCTCCTTTAGACAGTAATACGTTAGGGCTAGAGTCAAGACAGATACCCACATATGTTTAAACACATACGAGTCTTCCGTGTAATTATAATTAAGTATATTTTATCATCATATCATGTAATTTTTTTCCTAGGTGTGTTTCTCTGGGAGGCTGTGTCTCAACATCCCCGGCACCTGCGTGGGCGTCCTCTAACACCTGCAGCCACATCTCCTTCACCTGCATCTCCTTACAGTGTCCCCTTCAAACACTCGAGTAGTCACTTGGTGGCTGTATTAACTCTACTTTCCAATTTTCTGTACTTCTGGTGCTCTGACATCTGAGGCCTTGCTGACTAGGGAGGGCCTGCCCCTTGCAGGGTTGGCTATTTCCTAGAGAGAGTAATCACCCTGCCTGGGAGCCCACCTTTCCTCTGTGACCAGCCAACCCAGGCCCATACCCCCAGTCACCTCCCTTTTGTAGCTCTTACCCTCCAGGCCATACTCTCTGGCACTAACTACCCCAGGGACGGTTGCTCTGGAGACAATCTCCCTACCCCGAAGCCTGGTAAAATATTCAAACTAGCCAGTCCTAAACCTGCTCGGCCAGCTCACCACCCCCCCGCCGTTCCTCCCCGTGAAAACCACAATGAAGGCTCCTGCCCCTGCGCCCGCCTCGTTCTCTTGGCCTCCTGACTGGCCTGGTGCTTCCTCGTGTGGCCCTGAGTGGCCTGCCAGCCTCTGCTCTAGGGACCTGTGAGTATAAGGACTTCTTCCTTCGTGACAGTCATTTCCGTGACTGCATGCCTACCACACCTGGTTAAAACAAGCCTCGATTCGTTTTACCATGGTGGGACCACAGCGCCCAAAGTCAGCAAGGGCCTGGCCCCAGGCGGCAATGAGGCTGTCCACACGAGAGGGCGCGATGCTGTCGGCGCCTGGGTCACCAGCCGTGGACAGCCTGGCGCTCACCGCAGTCGGGGGAACTTCCAGAACCAGGGGGAAACGTGGGTTTCTTTGGAGCTGGCCAGTGCCACAGTAAGGGTGGTCACTCCAGTGGGCCCACAGCCAAGGGAAAGAACATTCTAGGTGGGTGAGCATCCTGGGGCTGAGGGAAGGAGCCGGGCAGGACTCACCTTCTCAAGGAGAGCATTCTGCCACAGCCGGAACATCATCATGTACGTCCTATCCCGGGCCCCAAAGGAAGTGAAAAAGTGCTGGATTGAAAGAGAAGATGGCAAGAAGTATCTGTTAAGATTACAATGTAATGAACAGAGGCAAGGTGCTCCTTCCTTTAAAAAAAGAAGCCGCAGATTCTGCCTTCAAATACTCCTGACTCTCAGTTAGCTGTGCTCACAACACAGGTGCTCTGACGAAAGGGGCCAGCCCACCAGGCGCCTCTCAGTCCCCGCTGTCCCCAAGCCCTTGCGTGTTCGCCCACACCTTCCCCAGCGCCGCCACCTCTGGTTCTTAGTTTCCACCTCCGTAAAAAACTTCCTTCGCCGACCTACAGGACCTAGGTGAGTGGTGAGCTGGGCACTGGCCCCCGGGAAGGAGAAGGCAAACCCACGTGCCCACTCACCCTGCGATTCATTAATTCAACAGATTCTTCTATGTGTTTTGGGCACAACAGCAAAGAAAACTGAAAGAGACCCCAGCTCTGACGGGGGGTACACGTTCGTGGGGACCTTCTATAATGTATGGGAAGGAAGCAACAGAAAATCAGACTTTACTGAACGCATTCTAGGTGCTTCACAAATGCAGCTTCATTTAAACCACACGAAAGCCTTGGAAAAGAAACATAATGTTATATTCAATAAAGAGAAACGGGCTGGCGAGTTAGGCAACTTCTGGAGTCGCAAAGCCGCTTCGTACCAGAAACAGAATTCAAAGCAAGGATGATCTAACCCCAAAGTCTCCTGGTTCTTGCCACTGAGGGGTCTGAGGCCAAGGGCACCGCAGACCTGCGTCCAGCAGGGGGCGCTTATCCCACCCCCAGCCATCAGTCTTCAGCCCTTGCCCCACATCGGCGACACAAACAATCCCTTTCCCACGAGACTCCGCGTCCCTCTCCATGAGCTCCGTTGCTCATGATGACACAACTCATATTTGTCAGGTGCTTCACGATTTAGTGTTTTCAAACATACGATGTCATTTCAAGACTATTAAATAGGCGTTGCTGGCTCCATTTTACACACAAGAAAACAAAGGCTCACAGCGGTTACAAAACGTACCTTCAGTCACGGGACCCTAATTCAGGGGTTCTGGCTCCAAGTCCAGTGTTCTGCCACTCCACCCTCACCCTGCTCAGACTCCAAGCACCCTGCCCACCTCAGAGCTGGCTCCCGCAATCGGCGTCACCTTACCACCTCTCCCCCGATGCTACAGGCCCCCACACAAATGCAGCTGCAAGGCAGAAAGCCAGGAGTAGGCGGTCTGGGGTCTGGGGAGTAGCAAGTCCGAGATCACTTACCTTTTCAGAGTCAGTGCAAACTTGGATGGCATTGGGAATGAGGCGAGCTGTTTTTTCTTTAGTCATGGAGCAGATGTCTTTCAAACGAACGGTCAGCTGGCATCCGCACAGAAACAGAGAATGGAACGAGCAAGAAGAGGCATTAATAGAGTCAGGCAGACAGTGTTCACACAGAACCAGTTCAAACAGGAAATCAGATCAGTCTATGTACTCCCCAACCTGGAAGGGACCTTCTCAAAGACCTTCTGGTTTAGCCCCTTATTTCAGAAGCCGTGGAGCAAGGTAGTGACTGAGCCTCACCAAGAGCCCCAGGGTATCCTGATTCTTGGCCCAAGGAGCTTTCTTTCTCATTTCTACCCCATCTCATAAACACGCAGAGGCCCCATCACGATTTGCCACTTACAGAAATGCAGAACACTGGTACTGAGTGGGACCTTAGGGTCATCTACTTAGTCTTTTCTCACTTATTTTATAAGATTAGGAAACAGAGGCAAAGAAAGAATAAAGGACTAGCCTTAAGTCACATAAACCCAGGAAGCACACGAGCCAGTTCTGAGCCCCAAGATCAATGCCCTTTTCACCCTACTATTCTGCCTTCTGTGGTGGCTCCTGCCAAACATTCACCTGCAGCTGCTAAAATCAAATGCTCTTAACACACTCTTGCACACCCAAGGAGGGAGGGGAAGGCATGGTAGCAGAGATCTACCCTTCAAGACTCAGGCACGTGCTTCTGTGAATTACACAGGGGCTCGGGTACAGCCTGCGGTCGACAAGAGTTTGAAAAAGGTGGGGGCAGCTTCCTGAGCCTCAGCCAACGGGACAGCCCATGGGGGCAAGCCCCGGGCCCTTACCAGGGTTTCCCAGCGGAAAATGTTACTGTAGAAGCAGATCCAGTTCTCAGAGAGGTAGAGTCGGCCCTGAAGAAGAATGTCTCTTTGGAGTGCACACGAGTAATCTGCAGTGGGACGGGGGACAGAGCTCAGGGACGGGGAGCATTTCAGCAAACTTCTACACATTAGGCATGCCATCCCTGCCCCAGCACTGGGAGCCCTGCCCACCACTGACTAGGTGTGTGGGACACTTGAACCAGTGGCCAAGGGAGTCCTGGCTTCTCATGATCAGGAACAAGGAGGATGTGAAATGCGCTAAAGGCAGAGGAATGGATGAGCTAACAGGGGCATGAGAAAGTGAGAGGTGCCCAAGTGAATTCAACTAACAGCTCCCCTCTGCCGCCAGCTCCCCAGCCCCATGGCTGCTGGGCCATCTGCGTGACAGAAGCAGCAGTGACTCCTCTCAGGTGGGGCTCTCTGGGCGCCACCACCCAAATGGGCTCAGCCCTGAGCCTGACCACTGCGGCCAGCGCTCTGGGCGTCCTCTCCTCCTGTCCCCAGAAAGACGCTCTTACTTGGGGAGCCCATAGTCAGAAGCAGCCTGAGTGCTGCCCCTGGGATGCCCAGACCTCCTTCCTGCCCCGCACACCCAGGTCACACACTCACCAACGATGAGGCGCTCCGAGTCTGGAAGTTGCTTGAAGAGCTTTCTGAAGTCTTCATTTCTCTGCTTGTAAGTGGGGCTTAACACCTGCAATGACAACGGCCCAGGTTAGCAGGATGCTCCCCGGTTCTGTGGGGCTCGGGAGGAGGGGGCAGGAGCAGTACCTGCTTGTGTGTGTAAAGGGCAAAGTCGAGGTCCTGTTATGTCGCAGACCCCAGAGGGCCAGGTTAGGCAAAGGGGGCTTCGTACGGAAAAGTGTGGTGGATAGAATCTGATACCGCACTAGGCTTTGTATCTGGTGTCCATCAGTGAGAAAACGTTAAACATACTAAGCAGGGCCCACAGGACACCCCAAGTGGAGAAAGGAAGGAGGGACACTCCAGGGAGCTTCCTGGGATCTCCTAGGTCCACTAATGCTGTTCTGCCTTCTGCCAGCAGAAGCACCACCTTGACAGTGAAGCCGGAGCCCAAGGGGACTCCCCCAGCCCCCCAGCAGGACCCAGGATGTGACAGTGCCCAGTGCACCCCTCACGAGAAGCTGTCATCAGGGGTAACACAGTAAGCACTTGGCTGTGTCTGGAATTCATGACTGGAAAAAAAAATCATAGAACACAAGACTAGTACAATGTAATGCCAATTATACCTCAATGAAACTGGAGGGGAAATTGCACTTTTACAAAGACTGAGTTAAAAAACACCATAAAACAAATATAAAAACAATAAGGCCCTACCGTATAGCACAGAGAACTATACTCACTAACTTGAAATGACCTACGATGAAAAAGAACAGAATGTATATACGTATACCTCAGTCAGCAGGCTTACACCAGAAACTAACACAACACTATCAATCAACTATACTTCAATTTAAAAAAATCCATAAAATAAACAAACAAAAAAACTAAAATAAACATTCAAGTAGAGAATTTAAAAGCACGTCTGGCAACGAGAGGTACACAAACCTTCATTCCCTCACCATCCCTGACAAGACTATCTAATCCAACCCTTACGTGACTGACGAGGAAACTAAGCCAGGAGGAGCGTCCCTGCGCAGCGTCCCCTAGCTGGTCAGCGGTCATCTGCCGCCCGTCCTGTGCTCACCTCCCACCACCACCTGTGGGCCAGATGCCCCTGCGCCCACCCGGCCTGCAGGTGCCTCAGTGCAGACTCAGACCCAAAAAGCGCCCTAGCGAATCCTTCCTGGAGATCCCGTGAGCCAGCTGAACAGACAGGAAGTCCACTCTTTCCAAACTTATAATCGTAAAAAAAAAAGTGTGCTACAGTTAAAGGCACCCAAGGATGGTTCATGAAGACAAGCACTCCACCCAGGCGATTCGCTGACCCGCTTATGCCAGGGGCGCACACAGGTACACAAACTGCACTGACACTGGGGACAGACGGGTCTTGGCCATTTACATGTTCTCGCCCACTTTCCTGGGGATCTTCCGGTATACGGCTGTGGCGACGAGGGAACGAGCTTCGGACGGCCCGTTTTCGGCCCTCTGCCAAGCAAGGCTGCAGCCTGACCACACCGGCAGCAGGCACTGGCCCCCTGAGCTAAGTGACCACCTGTGCTAGAGGGAACAGAGTGTCTTGGGAAGTTGGAGCGGAGAAAACGGCATGATTTCAGTTTGGGAAGGTTTTCTAGAGAAGAGAGAGAGATGACAGTGCTTTCAACTACTTTGTCTGTAGTTAATTTGAAATTTAAACTCTTGTTTTGACTTATTTATTACATGAGTTGTACTTGCAACAGTAGATGCCCAGCCATTTCCTCAAAGCCATGATGTGCTATAGAATCCCGAGCTTCAGAAATCATCCATCAGCGAAGCCGGAGCCCAAGGGGACTCCCGCAGCCCCCCAGCAGGACCCAGGATGTTCGAACCAAGTATCACGGCCACTGGGAGTGAACCCCTGGAAGCTAGGCCATCCCATGACTTCTATGGCTAACGAAAGACCTCAGAAGACAGCAGTCCTCCAGCTCATGTTCAGTTGCAAACTGATACTGAAACAGCCAATCTCAATGGCCCCCCGGCCTCGCAGAACAGAGTCCGCACACTCACACTGAAACCCCTTGCCTGACCACCCGATCATCAGCAAGTTCCCAATTACGTCTGACAGACCTTCTAGAGCTGCACCGAAGCCACAGGGAATGAGATATCACCACGCACCAAGCACTGTCAAAAGCCTTCCACAACATCATTTCATTTGCCCACAGGGTCGTTTTTATTATTCCATTTTAGACAAGAGGAAGCTGAGGCACGGAGAGGTGAAGCGACTTGCCCAAGGTACGTGGCTACTCACTGGGAGAGCGGAATACAAACCAGGGCAGCGTGGTCCACAGCTCTCAGCCTGAGCCGTCGCTCTGCACTGCCGCATGTCCTTCTGCCAAGAGGGAGACGGATGCCCAGCCAAGCACACCGTCGGGACGAGACAGCATTAGCGTACCTGGGGGCCCCCCCACTAGCTTTCCATCCCGCAAGTGGTGGGGTACAGCTTCAGTCTCCCAAGTTCTGGAAACTGGAGCACAGCAACGTGAACGTACTGAACCCTGCTGAAATGTGTATTTAGAAGCACCTAGGGTGGTCGAGCTTATGCTACGTGTGTTATACCACAACCCCTTTTAAACTGAGTCAGTCAAGTTGGTCTATCAGCCTGAGGACAGCCTAGCAGGTGGCCCCAAACCCCCTTCAGCTGTAACTGGACACTACCTGAAGCCTGAAGCCCTCCCCCTGTCTAATGCTCTCTCCACAGCACTCCGTTACCCTCGCTTCATGCCCAGTGGGAACTCAGACATCGACAGAGATGGAGGTGCAAGGAATCCGGCCAGAATCTCCAAACCAGAGGCAAACAGAGGGAGCCGCTCCTATCCCCTCCGTGAACAAAGCTGTGTGTGTATGCGTGTGTGGCAGGGAGCGGGCAGGCCTATTTCTAGCAGGCTGCCAATGCGACCGGCAGGCCAGGCTCACCAACCAGAGTCTAAAGTACAGGGATACAAGTTGGCCGCCACATATACCTCTTGACACAGACTGTGACCCTCTCCCTCGCGCCCTCATGCTCTTAAAGCGACCTCTTCCAGGGTGAAGCACGGCACACTTGTTTTCATTTTAAATGGCCAAAGAATTGTGGTTCAAAGACTGTCAAACCCGGGGCCCTCGGGTAGCAGGGCCAAGTGGGGAACGACAAGGGTGCAGCTGAGCTGTCACCCGGGCGCAGAGAAACGGGGCTGCACACTCACGGCTGGGACTTCCTCAGATCCGTGCCAGCAGCAGAGCTCCGCGCCAGCAGGGACATCCATCAGCTTCTGCAGGTGCCACCACAAAGGCTGGCTGTCCAGCTCCAGCAGAAGGCTCCAGAGGACCCCAGACTCCGTCAAGGACTCCATTGCTGCCCACGCTCCACTTCCTAGGGGAACCCAGCCCCTCGAACTCCAATTCCCTACTGTCCACACAGGATGAAAAGAGTCACTCTCGCCCAGGCTGAACGCAGATGGGTGGCCCCTGGCTCCTCAGCACAGGGTCTACGTGGCCCTCACTGGCCTCCTTTCCTCGCCTAGAGCTGGTTCCCGGCGATCCCTCACCAGTGGGAGGATGTGCTCAGCATGGTTCTTGGGGCAGGCTGGCCGGCCAGTCTCCCATGGCCGGGTTCTGCTTCGTCCCACTCGGCTCCCAATGTGGCTGGTCTTCGGGCTGAGGGTGACCCACAGAGGGGTGACGAAGCCTGTCCTCGCGGTCAGTGTGGGCAGCCACTGCAGAGGCTGGCTGTGGCCAGGACTCAGACGAGAGGACAGGTGCACCAGGCTGGCTGAGGGCTCCACACCCTCAGGACCGCCACGGCCAGGTCCAGAGGTCCGCCCTCCGGTTACTCACAGCCAGCACAGCAGCTCAGAGTTGGTCTGAAACTCCAGGGAGGGTGAACACCCAACTCCCCAGCTCCATCTGGCCTGTCCCATAAGGCGGCCCGTTCAATGTGCAATCACTTCTCTGGGCGGGCACTGGTTGCTATGACTCATGGTCCTCACTCGGGCAGAGCGGCCACCGCTGGCTGTGGCACCAGGGCCTGCTCCCACCCCCACCCCTACACACATCCCTTTCCTCCCAGACCGGGCTCCTCTCAGCTGACCAGCAAACAACTTCTTTGTTAGAGTTGCCCGTGGAAGGAGGGAGGCAGGAGGCAGGGCGGGTGGGCGGGCAGGGCTGGAGCCTGACACATGCTTCAAGTTACAGGATCTGGGTGATGGCACTGGCCAACGTCCTCTAGTAACCCCTGGCCTAGCCTGGCCTCCCCGGCAGATGTTTCCTGCAATGGAAAGTAGCTGGCCAGGACTCTGAGTGGGGGAGCGGAGGAGAGGGGAGGGAAGGAGGTGCCAGGGGCACGGCTGTTATAATGAAATCTGAAATTTGAGACTTAAAATAGCCAGGGACTTCTTGGAGACACACTCTCCCCTCACTGACCCACCCATCTACCAACTTCTCTGTAGCAGCAGCAGGAGATCTGGCAGTTTAATTCAGCCCATTTCAGATGTGCTGGTGGGGAGAAGCTGAGGTCAACAGCTCCAAGGTCTGTTGGAGGCGCCTCCTTCCTTTCTAGGGATGCTGCTCTGCCTCCAGCACTAGCAGGAGGAGGATCAAGGCCAAGAGGATTTCCAGCTGCTCAGACCTGGAGGACCAAGTTGTGATGCTAAAAGCAGAGAATTTGGCCCAGGTTAAAAGGTGACAGCTAAACTGCAGGGAAGCCGAGACGTCTGGGAGAGGAAAGTGAGCCAGGTCGATGGGGGGAAAAAGGGCTCCAAACAGAGAAGCCGGGGACAGAGGTCAGACGGCACAGGGGCTGGGAAGACTGGATTGAGAGACCTCTGAGAGGCACCTCCCTCGCCCTCTCCAGCTACGCCCACCTCGCCAGGAGGGTCTCCAAGCTGCACACGATGGAGAACAGTGCCTTTGTCCTGGGAGTCTGTTATCTGATGCAGTAACACTCGAACATTACTGTACTTAAAAATTGTGCAACAAACGTATTAAAAATGTCGATTCTTGGCTCCCAAATCCAAAGATTCTGATTCAGAGGAACGTGGGGTCTCCCAGGCAAACAGTGCTGGAAGAAGTAGAGGAGGAGCCTGAGTCCTCCTGCAAACTCCCGTCTCCCTCTCTCCATGTACACGCCCGGATGCAGCCACCACCTCCGCCCACCATCTCCTGCAGGGTAGCTACTCCAGAGGACCGTGCTCTCCAGCACCCGGCATGGTGTGTTTCAAATATAAGCTGCTCAAAAACTATTTACCAAATGAATGCACTCCTTGTGCACTTCTAAATCTGTCACTAGTCATACGCATCTTGTGTGCGCACACTGACAGAGATCCCCAATTCTATAGGCATGGCTTCTGGGTCCCCCGTCCCTGTCAACGCTCTCCAAACCACGTAACTGAGCTCCTCTCTGCCCTGCCTGCACCAGCCCCATCACCAGCAGTGTGGTAGGAGGCTCAGTAATTCCATTTTCCAGGGTGACCCAAATGTCTCTTTCCTGGGCCACAACAGACCCCGCGACCGAGGCGGTACCAGGACCCATGGAGAATGAATCATCACAAGAATTCCCCGGAAACATTTAAGTATCGATCCGGCCAGATGAGGGGATGACTGTTTGGGCTCCAACGGAGTGAGGCAGGGGCAGTACACACCCAAAAAGATAAGGCCTGGGGGACGAGTCCCAGTGTGCTCAGCCTCTGTCTCCTGTGCCCCCGCCCCCTCCCAGCTAGGTAGGGCAGCAGGCAGCTTCCAGCCCGGGCAGAGGGAATTGGCCCCAGGCTAAACATTAACCAGATGGCAAACACTGGGAGCTGGGACCAAGTGGTACCTGCTCCCTGGGTTGAGTAGCAGGAGGGAGAGGGCGGAGGAGCCCAGCAGAAAAACAGCTGGATTTCGGTGGAGTATTGATCTCAACCAGGAAGAAACCAATTAAGACCCTCAAAGGAAACCCTGGACTTTCAACCAGATCTTGGGTAGGGAGGAGCCAGATGTGGGATGAGGGGCAGTGCAGACCGGGGAGGTGACCCAGGAAAGGGAGGACCGAGGAGGGTCGGCGAAGGTGTTAACAGAGACAGAGAGGAGAGGGGTTGCGAGTGGTCTCATCTGAAGAAGGGGCCACTCCGGAGGAAGTTCAGGATGGTTGTTGGGGAGACAGAGGGGAGACAGACAAAGGTGGAGGAAGCAGTCAGTCCCCAGAAAAAAAGGCCTGGGCTGCCAAGGTCACCAGCGTGCCTCTCAGCACTCACCCCACTTTCTTCCCTGCCCCATCAACAGAATTTCATTCCTACGAAGCTTCGTCCTCCTGCTCAATCCTATGCCTGCCCAACCTGCCTGGTGATCCCACAGGACCTGCGCCATCCCTCTTCTCCATCAGAGAGCCAGCATTCCCAACCTGGACCAGAAGGCGACTTTGGCCCTGAAGTCTCATGGCAACCGCCAGGGTCTGGGCTCCCATCCTCTGACTTCAGAAATTCTCCTTCCCTGGGTGGCCATGGAGACAACTGACCCACAGAAAAGAGGTGAGGCAGGTGGGGAAGCACCTTTGCCCACCTGGAGCATCGGGGAGACTCCTGCGACTGCTGGCTTCACCCGAGATGCAAGACCCCTCCCCAGCCCCACGCGCATAGCGAGCCCATCTTCGGCGGGGGGGGGCAGCGGACTGCACCCCTCCCGCCCCCAGCACTCCCTTCTCTGCTTACCCAAGCTGGGGGCCTTGGCTGACAAAACTGGGGTGGTTGAAGGGGTGCTAACGGGAAGGCAACGGGATCAGGCCTGGGAAGGACTCAGGGCAGCGCAGACGGCCCGGCCTTCAAACCCCACTCTTGACCTGAATATCCCTGGCTGGAGACCAGAGGCTCTCCCCTCAGCCTTTCCACAGGTCCTTGGGGTCCAGTCCGTGGGACCCACTCTTTATAGAGGCTAGGGTGGGTTGTCACCATGGTATCGGTTCCTTCCTGGCTAACGAGGTAAAAGTAAAAGGCAGAAGAGAGGAGGAGGCTGGCGAGCGGCAGGAGGTGCTGGGTGGCTTCTCATACCAGACCCAGGCTACTCCAGCAGGCCTGAGGGCTTCCTGCAACAGCCAGTGAGTCTGCGCTCACCCCTCCACCCCCGAATCTGGCCGGAGGGCAGCGACGACAAAGCCCTCGCTTATCTGAAGGGCTTCCAGTGCAAAGACGGAGCCTCAGGCGGCAGAGCAGCTGGACAGCTACCACTCGTGTCAGGGGAGAGATCAGAACGAGGGCTGTGGGCAGAGCTGAGGAGGAGACAGGGCATCCTTCCTGATGGTCAGAGTCCAGCCAACTCAGGGCAACACAAAGGAAAGGTAGGAGGACAGAGCAGACCAAGGGAAAACAGAAAACCGGGTCAAAGCAACAAGGGTAGGGTCGGGGCCACCCGAAAAACCATGAATGGACTACTGGGGGGCAGTGCTGGGGAGTGGGGAGCTGAACTGAAGTTTCCTGACGGGGCCTCTGCACACGAGCACTGACCCACGCACAGTGCACTTGGGTGGGGACACCGCACGGTGTGCACACAGACCCGAGGGGCTCTGGGGAGCCCCCCAGGTCATGGGGGATCGAGCCAGGCATTGGGCCCAGGAGCACAGCCACACTCAGGTCGCCCACAGCTCCATACGCTACACATCAGAGGGGGCAGACATGGGGGTGACGCCTGTCATGTGGAACAGGGAGCATCTTGCTTCCTCCACAGACACCCAGGAGTGGATCAGTCCAGAGCCAGGGCACGGGGCTCAGGACGAGAGCAGGGTTTTACTTGGAAGGGGGTTCCCAGTGTTGCCTAAAGCTAGCCTATCTACAGCTCTACCCGCTACGGTGGCTGATGACCCTCTGGATGTGAAAACACCTGAAGAAAAACTGGAAAGATGCGCTGGACACAGCTCCTGACGTCTGTGGCTCAGGCCGGTGGGAGGTCTTGTGCCACCTCTCAGCGTCGCACCAACTGCCCCGTTTCTGCCTCTTCCTCCCAATGTCCACGTGCCATTTCTACCCCCTCTCCCACACCGTTCTGTCCTGCCCACACCCAGCCCCAAGCCACGACGTCCACATCCACAGGAAGTTTGGCAGGACCAGGAAGAAGGTAGCACTCAGGGGGCGGAGGGCAGACCCCAGGGGCCAGTCTGCCTGGCAGCCCCGAATGGAGGAGGAAGACGTCTGTGGAAGGGCCCCCTCTCCGGTCTCGCTGAGTCTCCAGAAGAACCTCCAGTGTGGGAGCAGGAGGCTGGGAGGGAATCACTCAACACTGCTCAGCTGAGCCCCTGGTGCACTTGGCCTCTGTGAGTTCATGATCTGTGTTGGGTGGAGAGTCAGTGCTTCTGTAATTTATCTGGGGTGACAGGTAGCAGGTGAAGGAAGACAGTCCAATATTAATTGAGGGTAGGAGGCAGGAAAGGCCTGGGCAACGGGTGTGGTCGGGAGGACGATTTTACAGGGAGATTAACGAAGCCAGCGAGGGCGGACTGCTCCAGCACTTCTCCAGCCGCAGGTGGAATCAGTCAGGAAGCAGGGCTCCGGCCAGGCCTGCTGCCGTCTCTCCCTCATCTGTCATCACAACCCCTGACCTCTGGGCCCCACGCGGCAGCTGGCCCCCCTCTTCCAGCCAAGCAGCGGTATCTATTTCTAGCCTGTCGTTCTGCTGAGAGCTCAGACACCGGTCCTCGTGTGTGGGACTGAGGGAGAAATCAGAGGTGAAAGGGTGGGAGAGATGGGAGAAAGAATCAGAGAGAAAGGGAAAGCCAGCCAGGAGAACGGAGAAGTCAGAAAGAAGAGGCAAACAGAGGTGGAGAAAGGAAAACAGGGGACTCCGAGAGGGAAGGGTAGGGAAGGATTCGAGAAAAGGAAAAGTGAGATGGAGCAGAAGAGGCTGCTGGGAAGAGGAAAGAAAAGAGAACAGGTGTGGGGGAGAGGGCAGAGACCAGCCGCAAGGGTGAGGATTCGCTCGTCCAAATCTGCTCTTTTATTGTCACCTGGGTCTGCAGCCACGTGTTTCCTGTTCCCCTCGGAGGCACTAATTTGACAATACCCCTCGGAAGGGTGGAAGGTTTCGCAAGAGAAAGGACGCCGGACGCCCCACCCGCTCCCAGGAAAGCAGCCCTCCACCCCTCCTCTCCCCACCGCCCCACCTGCACACTTAGAAGGAGCTCCTCTCTCCTCACAGATGTCAGCTTTTGGCCCCAGGGAGGCCTTGAGGCCAGTGAAGACCATGGTAGGTCCAAGGGGGAGGGCTGGGGGCTGAAGTCTGGCTTCCCCTCTATGCAGGCCCCCTCAGCCCTCAACTCCACCCCTATAAGCACAGCCCACAACCTCTGCCTTGTTCGTGCCGAGTGGGGACAAGGCTGGATCCATCAATCTACTGGGCCCACTCAGGGATAGGTGGCCCCGTGAGCATCAGGTCGGAAGCCACAGGGCTGACTGGCGCATGCTTGACTTTGGGGGATCGCTGAGCCATGTGGGAAAACAGGCCCCCCCAGTGATTCTGACCCAAGTTCCTACACTAAACCCAGCCTCACCCCACCCCCTCCCCTTTGCTGGAGTGTCCTCAACGTCTTCTCCCACACTATCTCCCACACTTTCCCCAAGCCAATGACACCTGCTGCAGCGAGGCCGGTGTTCGAGGAGCTGGGGAGGCACCCGCGTGCCCATCAGGGACAAGCACAGGGAGCAGCAGGCTTGGGGGTGAAAGACAGTGACCTGAGACTAGGCCCCAGCTGCAAACCAGCAGCCTGTCCACTGCGCAGCCCCAGAGGGTGGAGCACGACAGACTTCGGCCAGCTGCTTTCAGGGGATAAATTCAACATCGTGCAACCCTGGCGCTGTGACCAGCAGGATGTGGCCTTCGCAGGGACTGCTTAGTCCACACTTGGCTTCTGGGTGTGAGCGCCTGGCCGGGCCCCGCCCCCCCGGGACGACCCCAGGCTGCACTGTCACAGCCCCCGCAGAAGTGGACGTCTTCCAGGAGAAGCGTGCTCCTGGGGCTACTGAGGCGACTCTGAGGCTGAAGTCAGATTCCATCACCTGAGACAGCCTTTCTACTGATGGGAAAGCTTTCTGGCTGCCTTCCCCCAGAACTGTCTTGGTTAAGGGAAGGAGACCTTGGCCCTGAGGTCAAGCCCTGGCACTGTCCCTGTCCTGCAGCTCTGTCAGCCTGGGGACACCTCCCAGGACCCATCTCCTCTGGGGGCTGGAGGAGCCTTGTCCAGGAGTCCAGGAGAAGAAGGTGGGCCATCCTTGCTTGGTCTCCAGGAATCGAACCCTCCCTCCCTCCCCAGCAGTCCTGTCCATTGTGTCTGGTCTCTGGGAGGTCTGGTCAGGGGACAAAGCCCACCTTTCTAGACCCCTCAGTTGCCTCAAGCCCACAGGGAAGCCAAGCTGCCCCCACCCCCACGCCTCCACTCCCCTGACCACGCCATCCCACACCTGCTTCTCACAGACCCAACGAGAAGAAAAAGGGGATACTTACATTATACCAACTCTGGCTTTTCTGAAAGAACAAAAGAAAAGAAAAGCAATGTTAGTCGGGGAAGAGACGGTGGGAATGGCCAGGGCACTCCTGGCTCCGGCGGGGAGTTACACAGACAGCAGGGGGCGGCAGGGAGGAGGAATCCCAAGGCAGCTGAATGCTTCCCACGTTGCTGCTCGGGGGCGGGGGTCCTCCTTTCTCAAGACAGCTCCCGAAAGGAGGCCCAGGGAGCGGTCCATGCTGGAAGCCCCACCGCAGTGGGGGTGGCAGGCAGCGGCAGCACCAGCTAGAGCTCAGCTGGAAGGGAGTCGGACCCCATCGCAAGGTTCTGATGGGGGTGAGGGATGCGCTGCGGCATCCAAGACCCAGTCCCCCATGGGCCCTGATCAGAAGCAAAGTACCGACGGAGACCAACGCAGCCTTCCACCCCAAGTCAGCCTGTCTGGAAGGCAGGATGGGACCCTTGGTGTCAGGAGAAAGGGGAATGCCTGGAAACTTCCCTCCAACTGTTCTCAGCCAGCAACTGAGTAAATTCCTCCTTCTGTCCAACTGGCTGATGGGCTACGAGAAAACGGCCGGGGCGCGGTGGGGGCTCTGAGCCGGGAGGAAGGGGGAAGGACATAATTGCTAAAGGTCTTTCCCGACTTCACTGTGCTGTGATTCAATAGCAACAAACCCTGCGTCCACCCCATCTGCAGATTTCAGGTACTCTCCATTCCCATCTCTGGGCAAAGGTCACTCATCTTCACAGCAACGGAAAGGTTTGTAGGGGAAGAGGAGGGATGGCTACGATTGTACCTGGTCTGCAGCCAATCTCTATGGCCAGGAGTCTTCTATGCACATTCTACTTGGAAGACAGACAGAGAGACAGGCAGACAGAAACAGACACACTCACACGCATTCACGCACACACGCACGCACGCCTGCCTAGGCCCCATCCCCTTGAGGTGCTGGTCCAATAGGTTGAGATTGGGTAGACTGGGGCTAGGGTATTTTCAGTCTTAAAAAGCTTGTCAAGGGTGTTATTCAGGTGGAGAATCACTGAGTAGAGGCAAGCTTTGCCTGCAAGTCCACCTCTCAACTACAGGCATGCCGCCTTTCATTGCCCTTCATGGTACTGCAATTTTGCAAATTGAAAGTTTGTGGTCGTCCTGCGTCACGCAAGTCTGTTGATGCCATTTTCCCATCTGCATTGGTTTCAGTTGATTTTAAATTTTATTTTTTAATTGTAGTTTAATTAAATGTACACTGCTTTTTTAGACATAGTGCTATTGTATACTCAACAGACTACAGCAGAGTGTAAACATAACTTTTACATGTGCTGGGAAGTCAAAAAAACTCCCGTGACTCACTTTATTGTGATATTTGCTTTATCGTAGTGGTCTGGAGCCCAGCCGCAGGGTCTCCGAGGTATGTCTGTACAGGCAAAGTGTGGATCCTGGGCACTAATTAGTAACCTTTATTCCGTCTACCTGGTCTTAAGGGGCCCAGATCCATAAAGGAAGAAGGCAGGATGTCTGCTGTGTGTGTGTCTGGTGGGCAGAGAGTGAGTGTGTGTGCAGGGACGAAAGCCTGGCCACGTGATCTCCCTCCTTGCTGGCTCTCCCAACCCCTCAGAACTCTGTTGAGACCTTCACCTTCACTCTGAAGAGGAAACAGGTCAGCAGAGGACGGGATGGCCCCGATGGCTGTTTCCTCCTCACACCCTACCTCAGGGGCCGCAATATGGCCGGGGGTCAGGGGCAGATGGTAAGGCAGGCTTCTCAATCCCCCTGCAAGATGCTCTCCTTGATCATTTCCCAACAAAGGCTGTCACCACAGCCCTGTCCAGAAGTCACGTATTCCCCCCATAGCCTCATGTCCTCCTCCAATCCAGAGGTCTTAGCAGGTAAAGGGGCCAAATCCAAATATTCAAAATTAACTATTTCATCATTAAGGGAGCCATGGCCACATGTAAATCCAGGACCTGAAAAATCAGCCTCCAGTCATTTTGGAGGAGAGTGGATGGGGCAAGGAGGCTGCATGTGACTTTATCTATATCCTGGGACATCTTACCTTCCTGGGTCCTGATTCTGAGATCACATGGCATGAGGGTGTGCAGCTATCCTTGAAAGTATATCTCTCACTAGTGGGAAGGTACGCACTACAGCTGCTAGTAGCCTCAGTCGCCCCTGAGTTTGCCGGCATTTCATCAAACCCAAGCCAGGTCATCAGACACCCCCCTCTCCAGGCCTTCCGAGGAGGAAAGGGGCAGCAGGAACTTGGGCCTGGTGGGGGGACCCAAGGTCCTTTACTGTTACTCCTGCTCAGACGCTCCCTCCTGCCCCAGGTAAACAGAAGGAGGAGATGGTCTCTTCTCATGAACTGCCACACAGACGCAGGGCCCTTCTGAATCAGTTTGGAAACACCCTCCTGTGCAGAGAGGACCAAAAGTAAGGAAGAAACAGAACGAGGGAGTGGGGTGAGGGCTTTTTGATGGGTTGTAAGTGGATGTGGCCATAGAGGAGGAGGGAGTCAGGAAAACTGCCCAAAGACAGAGCTGCGGGGACAGGGCTTAGCAGAGCAGGTTTCTAGGTGCCTACGAGAGGTCTGAGGAGCAAGCGCCCCGGGGACGCCAAGGCCCTGGAAGCAGTCAAGTTCCTTACACATCTGTCTCTCCAGTGCAGAGGCCCGGGAGTCTGGAAGATGGGGGTTGGGGGCAGAGGAGGGGACGGAGGCGCACTACAGTTAGGAGTTAGGGGGAAAAAAACAATTTCTTACTTTGATCAGCTTAAGTCTGTCATACTGGAAAGAAAACCACAAAAATTAGGATTGAAAAACAGGGAAAAAGTCAAAGGAGAAAAGGCATGGCAGAGCCACAGAGCCGGGCGGCAATGCACACCCAGCGCCGGGAGGCACAAAGCACGGGGCGAAGACCTGCCTGGGCTGCGGGGCACCGCACCGCGCCCAGATCAGGAGCTGGCGGAGCAGCAAACGGCCGGGGCTCCCTCTGGCGGCCGCCAGCCGGCACCACAGAGCGGAAGCCGGGCGCGGGCACAACCAAGGGGGCCGGGAAGCAGAAACGGGCCTTGCGGTCTAGCCCAGGGCTCTGGCAGAGCTGCCCTCGCACGGGTCAGCCTCGGCAGTGTAGTTACAGAGTCACAGGAGTGGGACTTACTGGTACCCAGTCCAACCCCAGGAGAAGGGACGACAGACACCACGAGGCCTGGCTCCAGAGAAAAGTGGGAACACTCTCCAGCTTGTCTGAAAAATATACGTCACCTCCTCTACGAGGTGCACTGGAGACAGGGAGCGAGGTGGCCTGGCTGTGACAACAATGACAATAGCTCTGACTACCACATCCCTTGCTGTGGGTATGTCTGGTCAACCTGAGAAGATCTTCCAGTGGAGGAGGAGGCGACCCCACCACAGGAGCGCCGCCTCCCCGCCTCTCCCCTCACCCCTGCAGCTCCCCTTCCTCTCTGCTCCAGGCCCTGACCGAAGGAGAAGCTAACTCCTATACTGGTTCACATGTGTCCTCTCTGCTCTGGGTCCCGCACCCACAAATCCCAACCAACCACTGCCCCCTGGGCTGTGGGGCGCCCTCCCCCTCCACGAGGCAGTCCTTTCTAACTGCTGTGGTGGTGGTGACGACGGTCACCACCGGGGAGGGGATGGGGCCGGGAGGCGGCTCTCCAAAGCTGGGAACTCAGTTTGGAGTGGATAGGGACAGGCCCTGCCTCACCAGGCTCTTCACGGGGAAAGAAAACCTGGCCCGTCAGCCACCTCCCGCTTTCACTCCTTAGGAAAGGGGCAGAGATTCACTGCCGTTCACGCTCAGCTCTCAGTCCCTTCCTAACCCCACACGTTGCCCCCAGCAATCCCTCTCGGAGTTCCGGCCTGGCTCCCTGCACCTGCTCCCTGAAATGTGCCCACTGCCTGACTCAGACATGCGCTCTCCCGCCTCTGAATTCATGGAGCATCCTGTGGTCCTCAGGGTCAGGGTTGGTTTGTGGATAAGCTGTCCCTTATCTCCCTTCCCAGACTACAGGCTGCCTGGGGGCAGGAACCTGGTTCACACTCACTTCTTCAAGAAGATCTATCACTTAAGAGTTTCTTAAAAAATCCTCACTATTGGATTCTCCCCTCAACCCATCACCTGACCAAAAGAGGTACTCGGTAAGTAGTGACTAAGGACCACAGATAAGTACTGCTCTGCTTGCTGGAGCCTTGCTGAGCACAGGGGAAGAGGTAAAGAAGATCAGAGCTTGACCTTGGGATGGAATTGTGCAGACGCTGAGGGAAGAGGCAGAGAAATGGAGTAACTGGAGCCCCCTGTCCAGAAACAGCTGCCCCGGCCCCAGCCAGAGGCTCAGGGAGGCACTCAGGAGGGGCTGACAGAGGTCATCTTAAAATCTCATCCCCCGATGGCCTGCTCCTGCCGACCCCCTTGAACCCGCAGGGAGCTCCTGGGGGCTTCCTCGGTCAGGCAGCATCCTCCCCTGCCCGCAGCCAGCAACAGTCATTGAAAGTCCTCAGAGCTAAAATGAACTTTTGGCTGGAAGGTCACAGACTGGAGGATTAGGATTAGCTCTGTAACCCCTTGCTCGTCCCCCAGGAACGGGAGCAGCTGCTCTCCGTCCTCCTCCCCAGAACAGAGAGGCTTGAGACTGCTGGTAAGTCGGCCTCAGCCTTCCTGCACCCACCCCTTCCCCAGGGCACTATTTCCTGAGACCTGCCATCCCCAGATGCCAGCTATTCAAGCCCCCACTCCCTCCAAATTCTCCGCAGGCCTCTGAAATCCTGGCGTCATGGGCAGACTCTGGAAGCAGCTCCCTGTCCTGGTTGCATCTCTGCGGGCCTGGCAGGGGCTACTATAAATGCCAACCAACCTCCAGTGGCTGGCACCCCCCCCCGGAGCCAAGTTCCCCTCTGACCATGATCCAGGAGCCTCAGAACACCTTGGGCCCCAGGCTGGACGGGGGTGGAAGTGGAAGGGGCAGTCAGGCTGGCGACTCTCAGAGGGGCAAGCAGATAGGAGGAGTGGCAGGGTAGGGCTCCCGGGGCCACGGTGCTGCACCAGGGAACTCGGGAGGGAGCCAACCCACCAGGGAACCAGGAGTCACCCAGCAGAGCAGGTGTACGGAGGTATCAGGACCTGTAGCCTGGCCAGATTCGGGGGCTCCCCTCCCCCAAAGGAAGGAAACTAAGCCTTGGCAGGACTCTGCTTCTAGACGGCACCATGTAAGGAGGGAGGAGATTCTAGGCAGAGGCAGTGTTTGGGGAGCAGGCAGACACGGGGGTGGGGGTGGGGTGGGTCTGTTCTTCGACCCTGGGTGCAGTGGAAGTGGGCCCTGCGTGACTTCAGCCAGCCTGCCAGGGGCAGTGGGGCCGGCCCTTCTGGGAAAGGGACCAAGCAGGACACACGGGCCAAAAGGGGCGGGGACAGAGGGAGGGGTGCAGAGCACTACAGACAATTCAACACCCGAGGGGAGACCGAAGACAGAGACAAAAGATGGCTTACTTTTGAGAGGCGCTTGTGAGACTAAGACCATGCATGCAAAGAAGGTATTTGGGAAATGGTGGGGAAGAAGAGGAAGAACAAGAAATCAAAAGACAAATTCAGGTGGGAAGCCAGCTCCCAAGCCTCCCGGGGTCCCCCCCTCTCCAGGGCTTGTGAGTCCAGTGGGAAAGAGAAGCTTTTAGAGGGAGCATCTAGGCAAAGACATCCCCTGCTTCCCAAAGGATTAAGGAGGGGGAGAACAAAACCTCTGGGAACCACAAGTAGCCCAGGCCCCCTGGGGCTTATTTGCTCCCCTCCTTAGGCAAAGGCCCAGTGCTCAGGTGGTGATGCTGACACACCTGGGAGGGGTGGAGAGCCCTGTCACCGTCCTCCCGGCCAGATGAGTACCAAGTGGGTTATCACCAAAAGTAAGGCAGGGTGACGGCCCGGGTGGAGGTTAAAACAGCATTCTGCAACCTTCCTTGAGGATTCCCTTCCCCGCACGACAGCTGTCCCAAGTAATGTTCCCTTCTACCCCAATCTGCAGAAGGGTGCGGTGCTAAACAGATGATCCCTCCCGACCCCCAGAGCTTCCTTCCTCCAAATCTCAAGGCACGTGAGGCTCCCAAGCCCCTAAAGGGAGATACCGGTCCCTGTGGAATCACTGCACCAGCTCCCGGGACCCTCTCTGAGTGCTCAGCTGAGAATGTACAATTTAACTAGGGTCTCTCCTGCCTGCCCCACCCTCGCCTCACTAAATAAAGACTATCTCTGGGACCCTAGGCCAGTCAATCATCTCTGGATGAAGGGGTCTTCTACCTCGCCAACCCCCCCAAACCAGCTTCCCTGCAGCCAGCTAACAAGCAAGGACAGAGTCCCCGGTGGGGTCTGGCTCACCTTGGAATTTTTGCCACCACTGCGGCCGGACTGTGAGGAGCAGCTGCGCTGCACACCCTGCTCCGGTGTGGACGGGGACTTGTCCGACGAGTGATCTGAGCCCTTCTCCACCATTGTGTCTCCGTCCACGTTCTGCGGGGTGGGTGAGCGAGACCGCTTCCGGAGGATGGGGGAGCAGGCCGGCGTGCTGCGGTTGGAGTTACTGGCAGTGCTGCAGAGGCAGATGGAGAGAGGGAGGGGGTGGAAACAGGAGGAGGAGGAGAGACAAGCAGTCAGTGATTGAAGGCCAAAGACGGGTCCCAAGGAGCCAGCTCAGGGAGCCAAGGTTAGGGGCTGGGGAGAAATAGGGAGAAAAGGGCCCAGTTATGGACTTACTGCACCGTAATACCACTGCTAGCCAGGAGAGGGCGGTGGTGCCCATGTGAAATGGAAATAGCAATGGGAAGGGGTAAGTAGGGCAATTAGACGTCATCCATCCATCCATCCATCCATCCATCCATC